GTCACCCACACATAGGTCACCCACACATGCAAATAGTCCGGGTAATCTTATCCAAGATACATTACAAAACCGTTGAAAATCTGAAGCCGATCGAATAGGTCGTTCTCGAGTAACATACAAAAGTTTGTGACAAAGTCAACCAAAGTATGAATTTTTTTTTTCAACATTCTCTTTAACTTTTTTTGTACAAAATTCTCTACAATACTGTAGGAAAAAATATTTGATTTGGATCTTTGATCAAAAAAATGGCAAAGAGAATTATGGCAAATTATGGGTCACACGGCCCAAAATTAATACAAAAATTACTTGTAATTAGCATACACCGGTATTATGGGTTTGAATCCTATCGGAAGAGGCATTCACTAGCTATTACATGGGAAACCAATTTTCTAATAAAATTGGCAAACTGAAATTTACACAGCTGAAAGTGACGAGTTGTGTTTGAATAAATCCCACCAATAATAAGGAGGTTGAAGTCGATCGGAATAAGCATTCTTTAGTTCTTGTATATAAATATCATTATTCATTCAATCAAACTGGCAAATTGTGATCTACGCTGCCAGTGTAGCATTACCACCACTGTAACTTGTTAATTATCACTGTAACTTGTTAATTATCACTGTAACTTGTTAATTATCACTGTAACTTGTTAATTATCACTGTAACTTGTTAATTATCACTGTAACTTGTTAATTATCACAGTAACTTGTTAATTATCACTGTAACTTGTTAATTATCACTGTAACTTGTTGATTATCACTATAACTTGTTAATTATTACTGTAACTTGTTAATTATCACTGTAACTTGTTGATTATCACTGTAATTTGTTAATTATTACTGTAACTTGTTAATTATCACTGTAACTTGTTAATTATCACTGTAACTTGTTAATTATGACTGTAACTTGTTAATTATCACTACTGTAAAACTTGTTAATTATCACTGTAACTTTGTTTAATTAATCACTTACTTGTTATTATCACTGTACTGTTAATTATCACTGTAACTTGTTAATTATACTGTAACTTGTTAATTATCACTGTAACTTGTTAATTATCACTGTAACTTGTTAATTATCACTGTAACTTGTTAATTATCACTGTAACTTGTTAATTATCACTGTAACTTGTTAATTATCACTGTAAACAGTATGTTAATTATCACTGTAACTTGTTAATTATCACTGTAACTTGTTAATTATCACTGTAACTTGTTAATTATCACTGTAACTTGTTAATTATCACTGTAACTTGTTAATTATCACTGTAACTGTTAATTATCACTGTAACTTGTAATTATCACTGTAACTTGTTAATTACACTGTAATGTTAATTACACTGTAACTTGTTAATTACTTAATTGTTAATTATCACTGTAACTTGTTAATTATCACTGTAACTTGTTAATTATCACTGTAACTTGTTAATTATCACTGTAACTTGTTAATTATCACTGTAACTTGTTAATTATCACTGTAACTTGTTAATTATCACTGTAACTTGTTAATTATCACTGTAACTTGTTAATTATCACTGTAACTTGTTAATTATCACTGTAACTTGTTAATTATCACTGTAACTTGTTAATTATCACTGTAACTTGTTAATTATCACTGTAACTTGTTAATTATCACTGTAACTTGTTAATTATCACTGTAACTTGTTAATTATCACTGTAACTTGTTAATTATCACTGTAACTTGTTAATTATCACTGTAACTTGTTAATTATCACTGTAACTTGTTAATTACACTGTAACTTGTTAATTATCACTGTAACTTGTTAATTATCACTGTAACTTGTTAATTATCACTGTAACTTGTTAATTATCACTGTAACTTGTTAATTATCACTCGTTTTAACTTGTTAATTACACTGTAACTTGTTAATTATCACTGTAACTTGTTAATTATCACTGTAACTTGTTAATTATCACTGTAACTTGTTAATTATCACTGTAACTTGTTAATTATCACTGTAACTTGTTAATTATCACTGTAACTTGTTAATTATCACTGTAACTTGTTAATTATCACTGTAACTTGTTAATTACCACTGTAACTTGTTAATTATCACTGTAACTTGTAATTATCACTGTAACTTGTTAATTTATACTGTAACTTGTTAATTATCACTGTAACTGTTCATTATCACTGTAACTTGTTAATTATCACTGTAATTGTTAATTATCACTGTAACTTGTTAATTATCACTGTAACTTGTTCATTATCACTACTTGTTATACACTGTACTTCTATTATCACTGTAACTTGTTAATTATCACTGTAACTTGTTAATTATCACTGTAACTTGTTAATTATTCATGTAACTTGTTATTTTCACTGTAACTTGTTAATTATCACTGTAACTTGTTATTATCACTGTAACTTGTTAATTATCACTGTAACTTGTTAATTATCATCTGTATAACTTGTTCATTATCACTGTAACTTGTTAATTATCACTTAAATTGTTCATTATCACTGTAACTTGTTAATTATCACTGTAACTTGTTAATTATCACTGTAACTTGTTAATTATCACTGTAACTTGTTAATTATCATTCGTAATTGTTCATTATCACTGTTAAACTTGTTAATTATCACTGTAACTTGTTAATTATCACTGTAACTTGTTAATTTCACTGAACTTGTTCTTAGTAACTTGGGTACATCATTGCTCATTATCACTGTAACTTGGTAACTTATCACTGTACATTGTCACTGTAACGTTGTTACAGTCATGAAGACCCATTATGTACCTCTGTAATGTTGAGGTACAGTCCCTGGACCCATTATGTACCTTTACTGTAATGTTGAGGTATACTCACTCCCTGGAATCTCTCATCAAATTGTACCTCTGTAATGTTGAGGTACATTCCCTGACCATTATGTACCTCTGTAATGTTGAGTACAGTCCCCTGACCCATTATGTAACCCATCTGTAATGTTGATACATCCACTGGACCATTTGTAACCTCTGTAATGTTGAGGTACAGTACCCTGGACCCATTATGTACACTCATGTAATGTTAGGTACTAGTTCCCTGGACCATTACATGTACCCTGTAATGTTGAGTACCCCGTCCCTGGACCTATTATGTACCTCTGTAATGTTATGGTTACTACCACCCGACCATAGGGTATGTGTGACTACTACCCTACCCCATGGGTATGGTGTGACTACTACCACCACCCATGGGTATGGTGTGACTACTACCCCACACCATGGTATGGTGTGACTACTACCCACACCATGGGTATGGTGTGACTATACCCATACCACATGGTATGGTGTGACTACCCACACCATGGGTATGTGTGACTACTACCCATACCATGGGTATGGTGTGACTACTACCCATCCATGGGTATGGTGTGACTACTACCCCATACATGGTATGGTGTGACTACTACCCAACACCATGGGTATGGTGTGAAATACCCCACACCATGGGTATGGTGTGACTACTACCCAACCATGGGTATGGTGTGACTACTACCCAACCATGGGTATGGTGTGACTACTACCCACCATGGGTATGGTGTGACTACTACCCAACCATGGGTATATGGTGTGACTACTACCCATACCATGGGTATGATGTGACTACTACCCATACCATGGGTATGGTGTGACTACTACCCACACCATGGGTATGGTGTGACTACTACCCATACCATGGGTATGGTGTGACTACTACCCACACCATGAGTATGGTGTGACTACTACCCATATCATGGGTATGGTGTGACTACTACCCACACTATGGGTATGGTGTGACTGCCACCCATACCATGGGTATGGTGTGACTACTACCCACACCATGAGTATGGTGTGACTACTACCCAATCATGGTATGAGTTGACTACTACCCACACATGGTATGGTGTGACTACTACCCATATCATGGTTGGTGTGACACTACCCACACTATGGGTATGGTGTGACTACCACCCATACCTTGGTATGGTGTACTACATACCCACACATGGTAGGTGTGACTACTACCCACACTATGGGTATAAAACCTAAGACTACGAATTGAACACCAATCAGTATGGCCTACTGGCCCATGCTGAGGCAGTGTCCAGTCTCCTCCGGTTAAGCAATGCACCCAACCTAGTCAGTCAGGTCACATGTGAATTAACGGAAGGAACACGGCAGAACCGACTGAGCCACAAGCATATCAGGTCTAAAACTCACACCCACCCATCATCCATCATGCTATCTTATACCAATCTTATTTTTAAGCTACACAACGTTCGGCCTCTAATCGTTATACCTCGAGGAGTTACATGTTCCACTCATCCGACAACCTATTACCAAACCAGTACTTTCCTATATCCTTCCTGAATCTGAATTTTTCCAACTTAAAACCATTGCTGCGAGTCCTGTCTAGGCTAGATATTTTCAGCACATATTTACATCCCTTTATTATTCCTGTCATCTCATTTTAATACCTCAATCATATCCCCCTAATTTCATACGTCTTTCTAGAGAGTGCAGATTCAGGGACTCAGTCTATCCCATAGGAAAGGTTACTGATACATGGATCAACTTTGTCATCCTCCTTTGACATTTTCAGAGAATTTTATCCATTCTGTAATACGGTACCAAAACTGTGCAGCATAATCTAACTGAGGCCTAACCAAGGATGTATAGAGTTGAAGAACAACCTGAGGACTCCTATTATTTATGCTTCTTGATATGAAGCCAAGATTCTATTAGCTTTATTGCGAACACTTATGCACTGTTGTCTTGGTTTCAGATTACTGTTAACCAGAACTCCTAAATCTTTTTCGCAATCCGTAATATTAAGATCTACATTATTTAGTTTATATGTGGCATGGTTATTGTCCTGTCCAACATTTAGAACTTTGCATTTGTCTATATTAAACTGCATCTGCCACTTCTCCGAATCCACGCCGGTGGCGAAAGTTTGAAGTCGATCAGATAAGTCATTCTCCAGTTCTGATACGGGTTCTAATGATTCCAGGTTCATTTTACGATTTTACTGCATCACCAAATTTGCCCGGCTGTGGTTCGTACGTTGGACTACGTGTGGCCAGCAGTAACAGTCTGGTTGATCGGACCCTGATCAACAGCGAGGCCTGGTCAAGGACTGGGCAGTGGGGGCGTTGACCCCCCGCGGAATAGCCTCCAGGCAGACTCCAGACAGGTACTATCCTGACACTAAGATGTGTCAGCCATTAAATATCGAAGTCGTTCAGGAGATAAACTGAAAGTTATTTCACGTAATTTAACAGGCATAAAATTTCAGACAATTTTACACATAAAATGGTCAGATCTGCATCTTACACAAATGAATTTCACCCTTTTTCTTCAAGGTTTGAAGCCATGCTGCTGAGGGGTTGGGAGGCTACTGGACCCATTCCAGGACGCTGGCGATTCGTTCAACAACTTTGGTCACAGGGCGTGTCAACATTCCTGTTGTTCCAGGAATCTGGTCCTCGTTACCGTACACATGAGCTGAAAATTTGAAGGCGATTAGATGAGGTGTTCTCGAGTTATAAGCGAAATAAAATCGAAAAGTAAGAGGAAGGAAAAAAAGAGAAAAGAGGAAAATGAATATCCATGTAGTCTCTTAATGGACCTTCCTCGAGGAGACTTGACACGTTTCCTTAAGTCACTCCTGATCATCTATGTGCAACTATGCATGTACTCACTTATTTGTGGTTACAGGGGTCGATTCGAAGCTCCTGGCCCTGCCTCTTCAATGGTCGTTACTATGTTCACTCTCTCCTTACTCCATGAGCCTTATCGTACCTCTTATTGAATCTATGTATGGATCCTGTGTATGTGTGTATGTAGTCACCTACTTGTGGTTTCATAGCTCCTGGCCCTGCCTCTTCGTTGATCCTTACTAGCTCTACTCTCTCGTTACTCCACGAGCCTTATCGTACCTCTTCTTAAAGCTATGCATGTATCCTACCTTCACTACATCACTCTCCAGATTGTTCCACTTCCTGACAACTCTAGTGCTGGAGAAATACTTCCTGATATCCCTGTGTCTCATCTGAGTTTTCAACTTCCAATTGTGGTTCCTTGTTCCTATGTCCCATCTCTGAAACATTCTGGCCTTGCTCAGCTTGTCAATTCATCTCGGTATTTTATGTCGTTATCATGTCCTCCCTATTCTTCCTGTCCTTCAATGTTGTCAGTTGTGTTCTCTTAATCTATCCTAGTAGGACATATCCCTTAGCTCAGGGACTAGTCTTGTTGCAAACCTTCATTGTTTGCAATGTGAGTGCAATTATGTGAATGCAGCTATGTGAGTGCAGCTATGTGAGTGCAGCTATGTGAGTGCAGCAATGTGTGTACAACAATGATTGTGCAAAAATGTGTGTACAACAGTGTGTGTACAACAATGTATACAGCAATGTGTGTGTACATACAAGTTAATACAGGCATTATCAAGCTACCGACCATAAACATCACTAACATCGCCCACCGTAACATCAAGACTCACTACGACACAGCCGCCTCGTCGACATTCGCAGGTGAATAAAACCTGTCCTGGTTAATTATGTAATAAATTCCCCATGCATGTTTGAAGATAAAGTTTTTAAAAACGTTTCACATCGATACTAAATTCATAATGCGTACTCTTAATGCGTAAGGTGATGTGATTACATGAGTAAGGGTGAACTTGAGGGGACCTCCTGGCCTTGATAATGCGACCCTGCACCTGTGACTTATTCTGAGTCCACCACCAGCTGCAGAGGTTCCCATGATAAAGTAGCGAGAGAGAAAGAAAGAGAGAGAGAGAGAGAGAGAGAAGGGTGATAAGGGAGGGGATAGAAAAGAGGAAAAAAAGGTGGGATTTGTCGAACACGGAGGAGTAATCGATCTAAGTTATGGAGCTGAACACACACCTCAAACTAACTTAACTTTTCAAGTCTGTGTTATTTGCCGGTGTAGCAGTAGTGGAATTTTATACGTATGGAGAAATTTGAAAATGTCTCCTGACGCAAGTCTTGATCATTCCATGACCCACCCAGTGCAGCTTTGTTTTGGTCATACGCACGAAGCCTTCTCTTGGCTTTCCGGTCCACTCAGTAAAAAGAAAATTATTTACACTGCTATGATAAGTCGTGATGGCAGGATTTCTACCTCATATCGAAAGTAGAGGACTGAGTGTCATCGGAGCTCGCCTCTGTTGACATATGAGGCCATGTGATGTGAACTAATGTTGCATAGTGGTAGTGATTAGAGATTAGTTCTAGATTCTCACGGAGTGCTTCAAAATCCCTGTTGGGATTCGTGTCCTTAAGCCCATCGAAGGCGTAAGGTAGTGGAATATGTCTGCATTCTCTCCAACCAATTCAGTTTACCCTAAAAAGAGACAAGCAGTCCCAGTAGGCTGGCCAAATTGTGAAGAATATATCAAAAGAACTTGAGACTTTTTCAAGGAAAGGACTTGGTTCTTAGCTGTGAAAATAAATCTTGTTTCATTTTCATTATTTACTATCAGTTTTCCCTAATTATTCTTCTGGCACGTTTCTCAACCCTTAGGCCATTGGTATTGGAGTAATAATTTAGAACACAGTTGTACCTGCGGAACTGCATCAGTGGGCTAATTCAGCCACCATGGCTTCATTAACAGTAGCTGAGAGGAAGGCGCCCAAGATATGAAGAGGTGGACAATATCATCAAGTAACGTCTTGCCACAGTCAGCTACTCAGTACCAAGGATAGCTCAACTATGGAGACTCGATGGCAGACAGAATTGTCCAGATAGTTACTATGCTACCCTATAAGATCCTAAACTGAAGATAGGCAGATGGTCTGGACAACACTTATATTTATAAAGGCAGATAATTATCTCCAAAACAGTGGATCAGAAAAAAATATGTTGTTGTCAGCTTCATGGTCCTCTGGCTTTGCTACAGCTTCGTCCCGTTGGTTCTGAGGCACACCACTTGAGGGAGACAATGTAAACAAAGATTGTTGTTCTTGGTGACCCGGCCAAAAACAAAGATCCCTAAACACTACAAGAGCAGATAGCCTACAAGTGCAGCCAAACTACAAAAGCAGCCAGGCTACAAGAGCAGCCAGGCTACAAGAGCAGCCAGACTACAAGAGCAGCCAGGCTACAATAGCAGCCAGACTACAAGAGCAGCCAGACTACAAGAGCAGCCAGACTACAAGAGCAGCCAGACTACAAGAGCAGCCAGACTACAAGAGCAGCCAGACTACAAGAGCAGCCAGACTACAAGAGCAGCCAGGCTACAATAGCAGCCAGTTTCTAGTTGAAACTCCTCATTATTGCGAGTATATCAGAAAATCAAACTTTACAATATACTAAGTACAATAATCAAAACCAACATAACACCTGATTTTTATGAAGACAGAGACTGCGGCACAGACCAATAGTCTAGAGCAGCTGGATCATGGCGGTGAGTGTACAATACTCACTTTCACCTCTAGAAATTAATTTACAAGTCTTGCAAACAAGACAAGTTTTAAAGTAAGTCTTCTAATGCTTCGAGTGTAAACACTGCCGCCATTGTCCCTTCTTCGAGTGTAAACACTGCCGCCATTGTCCCTTCTTCGAGTGTAAACACTGCCGCCATTGTCCCTTCTTCGAGTGTAAACACTGCCGCCATTGTCCCTTCTTCGAGTGTAAACACTGCCGCCATTGTTTATTTTTTTTTTTATTATCACACCGGCCGATTCCCACCAAGGCAGGGTGGCCGGAAAAAGAAAAACTTTCACCATCATTCACTCCATCACTGCCGCCATTGTCCCTGCCATAAATCACAAATGAATACACAGGAGATCATAGATGTATTTTGGTCGCTGTGGGAGCCAAGACAATGCAGCTTTAGGTATTAGCAATGAAGATTTAAAGGGAATCAAAAGAGGCATTCCACAAATCATCGCATTAAAACTAATGTTCAAATATATTCAATAAAAACAGTAAATTAAGACTCACCCCAAATATGATTTAAACCTTTCCAAGACACCATTATCCTAGGTAGATATTATGTCAGGAAACAGGACAAGTGTTTCCTGACGAGGATCCTGACCCACACCTGCAGCTTATGGTCATCTGACAGAGGCCTTCTGCTGGCTTACCCCTCCATCCCTTTATAATTATGGTTATGGTTATAACCATTTTTTGTATAATAGCTACCATTATCCTAAAATACACACATAAATTAACCTTGAAGCCGCTCAGAAGTTGTATTATCGTGTTATTATCATCGAAGAGTTGAAGTTAATCAGATGCGCGACACTCAGAAATTATCGCATGAGACGCAGTTCCTTCTTTTTTTTTCATTTTTTTTTTTCATGTTTTTATTAAAAATCAACCTGTGGCTTTCATAGGCCAAAATCAATCCAATTTTTCTTTCCAAAGAAGACCGATAAGACTTAAAGAAATGAAATACAATTTCCCTTTGCAATCATCTTTTAAATTAATTGTGCCTGTGTTTGTTTGTGTATGTGTTTGTGTATGAGTTTGTGTATGTGTTTGTCTTTGCGTATGTGTATGTTTGTAAGTAGGTAAGTAAGTTTATTCAGGTATACACAAATACAGTTACATAGAATTATCATACATAGCATCATATGTGTAGAGAACCTGGGATAACCCAAAAAGTCAGACAGAGTGACTTATTTCCATTGGGGTCCTTTTACCTTATTATTATAATATAAAGGTTATAATATTTTCTTATTATTCTACAATGAAGATAACATCTTATTATCATACTAAAAAGACTATCTACTACACGAGGGTCATTAAGACTATCTACAATACGAGGGTCATTACTAGGAATAATGTAAAATTTACACGTGTGTTAGCTAAAAAATAGAAAATCATTCCCCTCCCTTTCTGTAGCTACATTCATCAGACACCTTTTGGCACTCTTCTTGAACTGGTTCATGCTATGACTGGCTTTGACATATGCAGGCAGTCTGTTCCATTCCTTTATTGCTGTACAATAAAAGGTGTTTGAAGCCTGGCCAATGAATGTAGGTACTACAAAGTTGTGCTCTCTCCCCCTAGTACTATGATTGCTTTGGTTCCCAACCTTGACAAAATTGACAGCAAGATATTCTGGACACTGTTTGTGAGCAATTTTGTAAACATGATTTAACTTTAGTTGTTTTACTCTGTCTTCAACATTCAGCATATCCAACTGCTGTAATTCATCCTGGCCTACGTGTTCTCTTGGACCCAGGTCCAGGATGAATCTTACAGTTTTGTTCTGGGTGATTTGCAGTCTATCCTTCAGTTTTTTTGTCAAGGCAGAGTACCATGAAGAGCAAGCGTAGTCCATATGACACTAGACATAGGGTCCTGCGAGCCTCAGTAGGTAGACACTGTGCTTGTCTGTAGAGGAACTTCAGTGTGGCTTTCGCTTTCCTTACTACACTGTTCCCTATCAATTCTCCTGACATGCATGGGTCAAAGGGGATTCCCAGATATTTTACTGAGGAAATTGAAGTGATGGGCTCCCCATTACACAGGACATTAAAATTATTTACTCTTCTCAGTTTATGTTTCGTGCCAAAGAGAATAGCTTCAGTTTTCCCGAGGTGTAACGATAGTTTGTTGTCTACTAACCATTTGCTGCAGGACTCCAGTTCCATTGTTAAAACATTAGCTATATCTTGTGGGTCTTTACCTGACACTAACAGAGCACCGTCATCTGCATACAGTAGGAATTTGACTTGACACTGATAGGCATGTCATTAACATAGCATAAGAATAATAAGGGGCCCAGAATACTACCTTGGGGAACTCCACATGCTATCGGCAGGGGTTCTGATTCCGTTTTGTTGATTTTGGCAATTTGTCTCCTGTTGCTTAGGTAGGACTTAAACCAGTCTACAGAACCTATACCGATTGCTTGAAGTTTCTACATAATATATTGTGGGTGACAGTATCGAAGACCTTTTCCAATTCTAAGGTTACCATTCCTATGAGGTTCCCCATTGGCATTTCAGTTCTCAAGTAATCCATCAGATTAATTAGGGAGGTGTCGGTTGAGTAAGATCTTCTAAAGCCTGATAGCCTGATTGATAGCTACGGAGAATGTTGTTGTCATTGAGATACTTAACTACTTGAGAGTACACCGCCGTCTCTAGAATTTTGGATATTACACTGAGTATACTAACAGGCCTATAGTTGCTTACATCAGACCTACTATTTTTCTTGAAGATAGGAGTAACTCTGGCCTCCTTAAACCCCTCTGGTACGGTATTAGTGGTGATGGACAAATTTATTATGTGAGCAATAGGGATTGACAGCTCAGAAGCACCATCTTTTAGGAACTTAGACGGGATGTTATCAGGGCCTGTGCTCTTAGTTGGGTTTAACCTGCATAGTTCTTTTTGAATAATGTCATGAGATACACTTATTAGTTGACAACTGTTTGGGGTGTATGTGTGTATGTGTGTGTGTGTGTGTGTGTGTGTGTGTGTGTGCGTGTACTCACCTATTTGTACTCACCTATTTGTGGTTGCAGGGGTCGAGTCATAGCTCCTGACCCCACCTCTTCGCTGATTGCTACTAGGTCCTCTCTCTCCCTGCCCCATGAGCTTTATCATACCTCGCCTTAAAACTATGTATGGTTCCCGCCTACACTACGTCACTTTCTAGGCTATTCCACGGCCTGACTACTCTATGACTGAAGAAATACTTCCTAACATCCCTTTGATTCATCTGAGTCTTCAACTTCCAGTTGTGACCTCTTGTGTCTGTGTCCCTTCTATGGAACATCCCGTCTTTGTCCACCTTGTCTATTCCGCGCAGTATTTTATATGTCGTTATCATATAACCCTCCTGTCCTCCAGTGTCGTCAGGCTGATTTCCCTCAACCTTTCTTCGTAGGACAATCCCCGTAGCTCTGGGACTAGTCTTGTTGCAAACCTTTGCACTTTCTCTAATTTCTTGACGTGCTTGACAAGGTGTGGATTCCAAACTGGTGCTGCATACTCCAGTATGGGCCTGACGTAAATGGTATACAGAGTCTTGAACGAATCCTTACTGAGGTATCGGAACGCTATCCGTAGGTTTGCCAGGCGCCCGTATGCTGCAGCAGTTATCTGATTGATGTGCGCCTCAGGAGATATGCTCGGTGTTATACTCACCCCCAGATCTTTTTCCTTGAGTGAGGTTTGCAGTCTTTGGCCATCTAAACTATATTGTGTCTGTGGTCTTCTTTGCCCTTCCCCAATCTTCATGACTTTGCATTTGGCAGGGTTAAACTCAAGGAGCCAGTTGCTGGACCAGGCTTGTAGCCTGTCCAGGTCTCTTTGTAGTCCTGCCTGATCCTGTGTGTGTGTGTGTGTGTGTGTGTACTCACCTAGTTAAGGTTGCGGGGGTCGAGTCCGAGCTCCTGGCCCCGCCTCTTCACTGATCGCTACTAGGTCACTCTCCCTGAGCCGTGAGCTTTATCATACCTCTGCTTAAAGCTATGTATGGATCCTGCCTCCACTACATCACTTCCCAAACTATTCCACTTACTGACTACTCTGTGGCTGAAGAAATACTTCCTAACATCCCTGTGATTCATCTGTGTCTTCAGCTTCCAACTGTGTCCCCTTGTTACTGTGTCCAATCTCTGGAACATCCTGTCTTTGTCCACCTTGTCAATTCCTCTCAGTATTTTGTATGTCGTTATCATGTCCCCCCTATCTCTCCTCTCCTCCAGTGTCGTCAGGTTGATTTCCCTTAACCTCTCCTCGTAGGACATACCTCTTAGCTCTGGGACTAGTCTTGTTGCAAACCTTTGCACTTTCTCTAGTTTCTTTACGTGCTTGGCTAGGTGTGGGTTCCAAACTGGTGCCGCATACTCCAATATGGGCCTAACGTACACGGTGTACAGGGTCCTGAATGATTCCTTATTAAGATGTCGGAATGCTGTTCTGAGGTTTGCTAGGCGCCCATATGCTGCAGCAGTTATTTGGTTGATGTGCGCTTCAGGAGATGTGCCTGGTGTTATACTCACCCCAAGATCTTTTTCCTTGAGTGAGGTTTGTAGTCTCTGGCCCCCTAGACTGTACTCCGTCTGCGGTCTTCTTTGCCCTTCCCCAATCTTCATGACTTTGCACTTGGTGGGATTGAACTCCAGGAGCCAATTGCTGGACCAGGTCTGCAGCCTGTCCAGATCCCTTTGTAGTTCTGCCTGGTCTTCGATCGAGTGAATTCTTCTCATCAACTTCACGTCATCTGCAAACAGGGACACCTCAGAGTCTATTCCTTCCGTCATGTCGTTCACAAATACCAGAAACAGCACTGGTCCTAGGACTGACCCCTGTGGGACCCTGCTGGTCACAGGTGCCCACTCTGACACCTCGCCACGTACCATGACTCGCTGCTGTCTTCCTGTCAAGTATTCCCTGATCCATTGTAGTGCCTTCCCTGTTATCCCTGCTTGGTCCTCCAGTTTTTGCACCAATCTCTTGTGTGGAACTGTGTCAAACGCCTTCTTGCAGTCCAAGAAAATGCAATCCACCCACCCCTCTCTCTCTTGTCTTACTGCTGTCACCATGTCATAGAACTCCAGTAGGTTTGTGACACAGGATTTCCCGTCCCTGAAACCATGTTGGTGCTGTTGTTTTAGATCGTTCCTTTTGGTGTTCCCCACTCTTCTCCTGTTAATCTTCCCAGATTTTCATACTATACAGTCAGTGACCGGTCTGTAGTTTAATGCTTCATGTCTGCCCCTTTTTTAAAGTTGGGGGACTACATTGCTGTTTTCCCATGCCCAGGCAATCCCCCTGTTTCGATAGATGTATTGAATTTTTGTTGTTAGGGTACACATAGTCCCTCTCCTCCTCTCTCAATACCCAGGGGGGGAGATGTTTTTGGCCCCATTGCCTTTGAGGTATCTCCTCATCAGAAGCCTCTTCACTTCTTCCTCGGTTGTGCACTGTGCCCCAACATGGTGGTGTCCCCCACCCTCCGTCTTTTGGACCCCCTTCTGTCCCTTGGCACTTTTTTGAATCTCTTGTTGAGTTCCTACATATTTTCACGGTTTTCTTTTTGTCTCCCTCCTTCCTTCCCTTACCCTGATTATGGTCCTTGACTGTTGTTTTCTCCTGAGTGGCTGTACAACAGTTTCGGGTCGATTTGGCTTTCGCTGCTATGTCTTTTTCTATTGTTTTTGGGGGCCCTCCCTTCTTATTGTGCATTTTTCGTTTCTGGCTCTAGGGACGTG